CTGACTGCTGGCTTCAGATCAGCACAGCTCCGGCCGTTGTAGCCATTTGGCATCCCACATGAGTGCAGAGACTTAATCACTTGGGCCACCTTCCATTGCTTTCCCGGGCACATTAGCAGGGAGCTAGATCAGAAGTGCAACACTGGGGACTTGAACCAGCGCCCATGTGCTATGCCAGTGCCACAGGCCAGGGCTCTAACCCGCTGCGCCACAGCACCAGCCCTGGACTTTGCCCATTTTACAGAGCAGGAAACTGAGGTCCAGAGAAGAGGGATTAAGATGTGACTGTCAAGGCCGGCGCTGTGGTGTATCGAATTCAGCTACCACCTGCAACTCTGGCATCCCATGTGAGCACCAGTTCAAAGTCCCAGCTGCTCCACTTCCAATTCAGCTCCCTGCTGATGTGCTCAGGAAAGCAGCAGGAGACACCCAAGTGCTTGGGCCCCTGCGCCCGCGGAGTTCTAGGCTCCTGGCTTCGCCCTGGCCCAGCCCTGGCCCAGCCCTGGCCATCGAGGCCATCTGGGGAGTGAAGCAGTGGATGGAAGCATGCTGATTCTCTCTGACTCTGACTTTTAAATAAATAAATACATCTTAAAAAAAAAAAAAAAAGAGGTGGCCGTCTCTTGTCCAACCTCAGAGGTCCCTTATTGTCATCGTTGGTGCAGGGCTGCCCGTCGTTATGAGCAGTGGTGGGCTGGGGGAAGGCTTGTCTTAGATGCAGTGACGGCCAGTGACTTCAGGAGGCAATCCTGGAGCCAAAGCAGCATTTGGACAAACAGCCAGTCAGTGCCAAGGCCCTGTGCCCATCAGGTGGGCGGGACAAAGGGGGAAGACCATGCTGTGCTCATCAGGGGACTTCTGGGGTGGCCCAGGGAGAGATGACAGCAGCTTGGACTGGGGGTGGCCATGGGGGATGGACTTGGGCAGAAGAGGAAAGTAGATGAGTGGTTGGCTGGCTAGGAGCAGCCCCTGGGGAGTGGTGCCACTTGCCGAGGTGGGAGGGCAGGACTGCCAGGTTGGGGAGATGAAGAGAGGGGACCAGGGGTGCTGGCACGGGAGTCTGGGTGAGGCGCTCAGGGGAGGCTCCAGCCCTGCTGCTGGCCCCAGGCCCTTTGTGACTCAGCCCAGCAGGAGCTCTGCGTGTCTTTAGGATGTCCCTCGAGGCCCCTGACCGTCCATGCAGGAGCCGGGGCTGGCTGTGGCTGTGTCCGGCTGAGTCACCGGCAAGACTGAGGCCTCCTGAGGAACCAGTCTGGCCAGCTGCAGGCTCCTGGCCAGCTTGGGCCTCCTTTGGAAGGGGCTGAAGTTCAAGGACTGGAGCCTCGGGAGGCTGGGAAGGTGGCTGGATAAAGCCGTGTGTGCCTGGACCCCGTCAACCCCCCTCCTGGCCACCCTGGCCACCTCCACAAGGCTCCCCGGTGCCCTCAGCCCCTGGGCAGGCAGGGGTGGCTCCTTCCACTCAGGGGTAGTGACTGCCTGGACCACCCCCAGCCCCTTCCTCCCCCATCCTCCTTCTTCCTCTCCTCGCTGAGTTTCATGTGATGTGAAATGACACCGTGGGCAATTCGGAGGTGTCGCAGGACACCGTACAACCACCCGCTCTGTCCAGGCCCAAACCTCTCACCACCACCGGAGGAGACCCCAGTCACTCTGGCCCCGCCAGCCTCTCTGGGCTTGCCTGTGCAGCCGTGTGTCTGTCTCCATCCTGAGGGCAGTGCCGTTCATCCCCGTGGTGGCCTGGCTGTCTGAGCATTTCAGACCCACTCCGCCGAGGCAGCAGTCACACATAGGCAGGTCAGTGAGTTTGGACAAATGTGCGTGCCCGGCCCCCCGCCCCAGTTGTCCACCACCCTGGGGCTCTCTGCTGCCTTTCCCAGGGAGCCACCATCCACATCCGCTGACCTCCCTTCCAGACCCCTGCACAGGAACCGTTTGGCTTGGCTCGGCTCGGCACAGAGCCTCTGCTCCTGGCTCTCGGGCCCTGCGGCAGGGCTGGCAGGTGTGGCGGGGGGTGTCCCTGCTCAAGGACTCTCCACTCCATCATGGGGTTGCCTCTGGCTTTGGGCTATTAGGAATAAAGCTGAGAACATTTCTCTCTCTCTCTCTAAGATTTTATTTATGTATTTGAGAGGCAGAGTTACAGACAGAGAGAAAGAGGTCTTCCATCGGCTGGTTCACTCCTCAAATAGGCGCAACGGCCAGAGCTGGGCCAACCCAAAGCCAGGAGCCAGGAGCTTGTTCCAGGTCTCCCACGTGGGTGCAGGGGTCCAAGCACTAGGGCCATCTTCCACTGCTTTCCCGGGCCATACGGAGAGCTGGATCGGAAGAGAAGCAGCCCTTATGGGATGCCGGCGCTGCAGGCGGCCACGGTGCCAGCCCCCAGAAATGGTTTTGTGTAAACACCTAGGTATAAGATGGCTTCTTGGGGCCCCGCGGGTACTGGGGTTGACGTCCCCTGGGTCCTCAGGCTGTCACCACTCAATCCTCCAGAGCCAGCAGGTAAGCCCCCTCCCAGCCCCAGCCCCAGCCCCAAGGGTGGGCCCTTCCCTGATGCCTCTCCTTTGGTGCGAAGTGGCTGAAGCCTCCAGTGCCAGCCCTGGTTCTGAGAAGCTGTCTGGAGGGCTGAGATCCAGGACAGACCTAGCCCGGGGGCCGTGGGTGGGGGGTCTGGGGAGCTCTGGAGAACTCAGCCCAGTCCTCTCTCTGATCATCACTGCTCCCTGGAGCACAGAGAGCCCCGCCCAGCTCCACCCTGGCCTGGAGGGCCTCAGGTGGCCTGGGATCAGGGCCTGGAACCCAGCCTGCTGTGAGGACTGCATCTGGGAAGCCGGTCAGCGCCATGGTCGCCTAGCTCCAGGGTGATTGATTGCCAGGGTTTTGGCTGTATCTGTGGCCACTGTTGTAAGGCCGCCGCAGAACACACCAAACGCCGGAGTCAGCAGAAGTGTTTACTGGGGGAAACCCCACAGACCGGAGGGCAGGGGCGAAGCGGGGAAAGAGGAGGAGAGTGTAGGAGAGAGAGACAGATTGAGAGAGCGAGCCAAGTGTTCAGGAACAGGTCCTCTTAAAACTTTGCCAGCGGGCGGGCAGGGAAGCAGGAACAGCGAATCTGATTAGGATGGGGTGGAGCCGACAGCTGTGGTTGGGCCTTGGCGCCAGGGGCTACAGCCTAGGATGGCTTTGGGGCGTAGGTTGCACCACAGATAAGACTGTGCCATTTTACTAACAACTTAGGTTTTTATAAAGATTTCTTTAATTGAAATCCAGAATGGGGTAGAGGGAAGAGAGAGAGAGAGAGAGAGAGAGAGAGAGAGAGAGAGAGAGTCTTCCATCCACTGGTTCACTCCTCAAGAGCTGCAATGGCCAGGGCTGGGCCAGGCAGAAGCCAGGAGCAGGGGCCTCTTCTGGGTCTCCCACGTGGGTGCAGGGACCCAAGCGTTTGGGCCATCTTCGGCTGCTTTTGTTAGTAAAATGGTGCAGCCCTGACACCATCCTAGGCTCTCGCCCCGCTGCCATTGCTGGAAGCCAGGTAGCCACATGGCCCAACCCCCGGTGTCAGCCCCATCCCCGTCCTCATGGGTTTCTTCGCCCCTTCCCTCTGGTCTGTTGGGTTTCCTCCAATAAACCCTTTTCCGTACTCCGGTGTTTGGTATGTGTTGTGGCGGTCTCACAGCTTTCCCAGGCCACTAGCAGGGAGCTGGGCCGGAAGTGGAGCAGCTGGGTCTTGAACCAGTTCCCATATGGGATGCCGGCGTCGGAGGCAGAGGCTTAACCTGCTATGCCACAGCACCAGCCCCTCGGTCTGCCTTTCAAATAAATAAACAAATCTTAAAAATATAAGCAAAGACCCCTAGCTCTCTTGTGGACTGAACCATCTTCCAGATGCAAATCCCACCCTGCCATTGGGCCCTCCTCTCTGCCCTTCGCTGTCCCCACCAAGCATGGCCACAGGCACAGCCTCCCGTGGTCCCTGCAGTCCTGGCACCTTAGCGTCCCCTGCCCCCAAGCCAGCCCCTGGGCTGGAAGCCCCTGAGGGCAGGAGCCCTGTTCACAGTGCATGGTAGTGGGTGTTCACAAACACTGGTGGAACAAAGGCGGGAAGGAAATGGGGCTGTGCTGACCACGTGGCCCTTGGAGTCTCCTCATTTGAAAAAGCCAAGGCTGGACCAGGAGACCCAGTGCCCCAGGGTGGGGGCCTGAGGGAACCCTGGTGTTGGGAGAAGGCTTCCAGGACTGGCTGAGGCCCGGGGTGGTGAGGGCGGATCAGAACCCCGCATTTGCAAATGCAGTGCTTGTGAGTCCCGCTCTTGAATGCGAGCAAGCCCCCCAGCTTACACCGGGATGTGGGGGCAGGCCCCCCAGGCGGTTCGCCGTGGTGAGCGCACTGGCCTCCGCGAGGCACGCCGCCTGCCTCGAGAGCGCGGAGCCGCAGGCACGGGGCTCTGCACCTGCGTCTCTTCGGAGCGCGCGCACTCGCGTGTTTATTTAAGGCCATGGACCGCCCGCAGAGCACCGGCCGCGACCCGGTGGACCTGCGCCGGCTCCCAGGTTTCGGTGCAGCCGGTCCCGCCTACAGCTGGACAGAAACGCATGCGCTGTGACTCACTCCACCGCGACCCGGTCCCTGGGCGCACACGCCACGCCCCAGATATTACTGGCGTCTCTCTGGAGACCAGGGAGGGGAGAAGCCACCGCCCAGGTCTGCGGGCCGCGGAAGGAAACCCGGCGGGCGGGGCCCAGACAGGGACCCTGGGCCCACGCCCGGCCGCTGGCTGCACGGCCCCGGCTTAGCTCCGCCCACAACAGACTGGCCCCGCCCATACATCTAGCTCCGCCCATTAGGGGCCCCGCCCCGACGCACGCCATGTCCCGCCGGTCTCCAGACCCCGCCTCCTCGAGGCACCGCCCCCGCCAGTCCCCGCCCCCCCGCCCCGGTACCCACTAGGCCTGGCCGGCAGCAGGCCCCGCCTCCCCTAGGTCCCGCCTCCCCAAGGCCCCGCCTCCCGGCCCGGCGCGCAGTGCGGCTGCGCTGGCGTCTGGGGCTCAGAGGCCCAAGCGCCGCAGCTCTTTTGTTTCCCGGCCGGGGTCGGAGCCCGAGTTGGAGTCTTAGTCCGAGCCCGAGTTGGAGCCGGGGCCTCGGCCGGAGTCGGGTTTGGACTCGGATTCGTATCCGCAGCGCCGCGGCGAGCCCTCAGAAGGAGCGCTCTCCCGGCCTCGTCGGCCCGCGGGGCTGGGACCCGGCCCCGGCCTGCCCGATGGGGCGCGCGGCCCCGGCGATGCGCCCGCGCCCGGCCCCGCGCGCCCGGCCCCGCGCCCCCGGCCCGCGGGCCCCGGCCCGAGCCTCCGCCTGAGTCCCGCGCGCCCGGGCCCGCGCCCCCGGCCCGCGCGCGCCATGGAGCCCGGCCGCGGCGGCATCGAGACCGTGGGCAAGTTCGAGTTCTCCCGCAAGGACCTGATCGGCCACGGCGCCTTCGCGGTGGTGTTCAAGGGCCGCCACCGGGAGGTGAGCCCCGGCGCGTGCGGCCCGCCCTGGGACCGGCATCCGGGAGCCCCGGCCCCGGGGGCACCCCTGGCCGGGGGGCCCTTCCCCCAAAGGAGCTCCCTGGGCCGCCTCCTGCGGAGGTGGAGTTCCGTCCCGAGACCTCTCCGGGACGGCGCGGGTCACCTGCGTGTCCCAGGCCTGGGGTCAGCCCCGGGATAGCCCCCCTGAAGGGTCCCTCTCTGGGTTTCAGAAGCATGACCTAGAGGTCGCAGTCAAGTGCATTAACAAGAAGAACCTAGCCAAGTCCCAGACGCTGTTGGGGAAGGAGATTAAAATCCTAAAGGTGAGCGGACTGGCCGGGCAGCGGCCGGGAGACAGGGTGAGGGCCAGTCCTCGCCGGCCTCCCTCCCTCCAGCTCACCGGGAACCTGGGTTTCTGTCCTAGGAACTGAAACACGAAAACATTGTGGCATTATATGACTTCCAGGTGAGCCACCGGGCTGCTGCGGGTGGGGGTAGGGTAGGAGGGCTGCCACCCGGGCCTCAGCCCCAGGCAGCCAGGCGCCCAAGGCCCTGGTCAGTCATGGGGGGTCGCGGGCCTGTGTCCTTCGCGGGCGGGAGGAGTTGGGCATTGGCTGTAGCCGTGGTGTGTCTCTGGCCGAGCTAGTTCTGAGGCCTTGAGGGGACCCCAGACACCCCATCACCAGCCCAGGTCTGTGGCCTGGCTTCCCTTGCTGTATTGGAGAGCTCCCAGCTTGTCCGGCTGCCTGAGCGGGCGATGCGGGGGGGGGGGGGCGGGCAGAGGACAACGGGTGGGCTGACAGCAGCGTGGCCGGTGGTGGGTACCCCCACCCGGAGTCCGAACCAGTGGTAGCCCCGACTGCCAGTCAGCGGGGCCCCCTGCTGGCCCACCTGTCTGGCCGGTGGTTGTTTTGTTGACATTGCTCCGGTGGCCTGGCATTGGCTGGCCTCTCGCTGCGTCAGCCTGGGGGAGGGGCTGCAGGCGATGCCTTCTTGCTGGCAGCGGGGGCTGGGCTGGTGGCACGGAGCAGCCACCCGCCGTCTGCTGTCGATGAGGCCACCCCAGGTCTGGCTGGCCCTGGACAGCAGGCAGGCCGAGGAGCTGGCCTGCCTGCCGTGCTGTCCCCCAGCCCCTGGGCGCGGCAGCGGCAGGCAGAGGTCGGGGACCCTAGGTGCCCGGCTTGGGGACCAGGAACCTGAGGCGCAGATCTGCCAGTCGAAGTGCTGACTAATGGTTTTGAAAGCTGTTACTGAGCCACGGGACCAGCCCTGGCTGAGGGAAGTTCCCAGCCGGCCGCCTCCCTCCTTCCTCCCCTCCCTCCCTCCCTCGCTGTCCAGTGTGCTATGGCCTTGGGGGCTGTGGCGTGTCATGGGGTGACGTGGGGAGGGCCCAGGTCCAGAGTGACAGCGAGTACCTGGAACCCAGCAGAGACATCGTGTTCTGGGTCCAGGAGCCGCCTCCCGCCCTCCTCTCCTCCCTTCCCTCTCCCTCTGCACCCTCTTCACCGCTGTTTTTCTCTCCCCTCTCCATTTTCTGAAGCCTCTTGGCATCCGCACGTGTGGGACCCGGACCCCCTCGCGCACCCTCCGCTTGCCTTGCACCCCCCACCTGTGTTCCCTCCATGCTGGGCTCCCAGTGGCTGCCTCCTTAACACCTCTGCACACACACACCTCTGGGCCACACACCTGGCTCTGAGCACCTGCCACCTCCTCCAGCGTTAGCGACACTGGCTGCCCCGCTCAGGACGGGCTGAGAAGTGCCGGCCGGCGCCTCCCTGGACGGCCTGGGGTCCCCCCCTGGATCTGGGGATTGTTCCCTGTGTCCTTAAAGCTTTGGGCTGACCCAGACACCAGGGTCCAGAAACAACGGATTTGTTTTTAAAAATCGGCAACAGATGATTTGACCAAGAAAAGAAAGCCCTGAGCAGTACAGGTCACAAGTCATCCTGGGGCCCCCACCCCTTATTGGGGTCCGCTGCTGCCCTCACGCGCCGCCATAGGTGGCCCCCGGATCTGCCCCAGCTGCTGTTCCGCACTGTGGCCTTTCTCCCCGTAAGCATGTATCTTGGAGAAGGTTCTCTTTTGTCTCAATCCGCACCGGAAGGGTTGCACCTTCTCAGTCGCCGTGAGCACAGTGGTTCTGAGCTGGACCGTGGTGAGCCGCCAGGCAGCAGCCCTGGCTCTGCTGTGCAGGGGCGGTGTGTCCCGCCTGCACCTCTTCCTGCCAGGTAGACTGGGGTGGACCCCTACTCACAGGATGTGTGTGGTCCCCTGGGCTGTCACCAGGCCGTGTGGTTGAGACTGTGCCTTTACTCCGCCGTGCCAGCTGTCAGTCTGTAGAAAGATTTGTGTTTTTTTTTGACAGAGTGGATAGTGAGAGAGAGAGAGAGAAAGGTCTTCCTTTTGCCGTTGGTTCACCCTCCAATGGCCGCTGTGGCCGGCGCACCTCGCTGATCCGAAGCCAGAAGCCAGGTGCTTCTCCTGGTCTCCCACGGGGTGCAGGGCCCAATCACTTGGGCCATCCTCCACTGCCCTCCCGGGCCACAGCAGAGAGCTGGCCTGGAAGAGGGGCAACCGGGATAGAATCCGGCGCCCCGACCGGGACTAGAACCCGGTGTGCCGGCGCTGCTAGGTGGATATTTGTTTGAAAGGCAGAGTTACGAGAGAGAGAGAGAGAGATCGATCCTCGATCTACTGGTTGACTCCAGGCTGAAGTCAGGAGCTTTATCCGAGCCTACTGCGTGGGCCCAGGGTCCCGAGCACACGGGCCGTCAGCAGGGAGCGGGACCAGAAGTGGAGCAGCCGGGATCAGAACTGGTGCTGCGTTTGTGGGATGCCGGCGTCACAGGCTGCGGCCCAACGCGCCGGATCGCAGATCTGTAGAAGTAGGGTGTGTTCCCGGGAGCCGTTGTCCGAGGTCCTCCAGGAGGCAACGTGGTCCCTCAGCCACAGGCCCCCCACATTGCTGCCGGCTGGGCTCTTGGGCCTGTGCATCGGGGCCGTGTGCAGGGTGGGGAGCGGCACCCCTGCTGGGTCGGGTTCTCCCTGACTGCTAGGACGGGAGCCGCGCAGTCTGTCTGTGAGTTTGGGTGAGGAGGCTCCTGGTGCCTCCCTTCCCCACCCACGTGGGGTTGACGCCTGAGTGTTTCGCTTGTGCTGGGAGCCCTGGAGGTGCCGAGGTGGTCTCTTGTCTGTTGAGGTGGGGGGTTTTGTCCTCACTGTGTTAGGTTGGTTTGCTCAGCCATGTTGAACGGGAACGGCAGGCCCGCGTGGCCTTTGCTCTCTTGTCTGTGTCACCTGCCTTGTTATTGGCACAGGTGCTGGGGGCTTCCAGTGTCCCCGGGGAAGAGGGGTGACACCTTCCCGCAGCCTTGCTTCCTGTGCGCCGTCGGGCTGCTGGTGGACACCTGTGCTAACTCTTGGTGCCCTCCAGACTGTGGTGGGGGGCTGGGCTGAGCCCAGATGAGGCCTGGGATGGTCTTCGCGGCAGGCTCTGGGAGGCTCCTGCCACACTGTTTTGTTTTATGTGGCATTGTTTTAGGCCCCCCCCCCCCCGCCTTGCTTTTAGGTTTTGAAACAGGAAGCACTCCTGACTGAAGGTGGCGCGTGTGGAGTGGGCATGGGCGTGGCTGCCCCGAGCCCGGCCCCCGCCCTCCTCGCTGGTCCTCCAGCGGTGGTCACTGTCCTGCTGCTCTCGCCTCCTGGCGGAGCCTGGCTGCCGACACCGGGATGCCTGCCGGTCTTGAGCTTTCGGAGCGGAGGCTCCGCCTTACGTCTGGGGTGCTCGGGGCTTCTGCGGGTGGCTGCTGGTGCCTTGTGTGGCTGTGTGGTGTCGTGGGACTGCTCCCTGGGGTGCGGGTCCATCTGGACCGCGCTGCTACAAGCAGGTTTGGGGGGCATGTGTAGGTTGTGTCTGCCTGGCTCCCACGGGCTCTGAGGGCCCAGGCAGCAGCCAGCCCCCTGCTGCTGAGCTCCCTGGTAGAACCCTGGTCAGAGAAGAGGGAGGGGCAGAGAGGGAAGCTGGTGGCCGGAGTAGGGGCCGGTGCACAATGGGCAGGCAGCAGGGCTTCCTCCTCAGGGTGGGGCCAGCATCTCTTCCCTTTGGGAGCTGTCCAGAAACACAGGGCTTCGGGGGCAGGGTGGCTTCTGTCCAGGCCCCAGCTGTGGCTTTTGCTGCCTCCCGGACCCAGAAGGCCGGCTCTGGAAGAGTTAACTGGGTCTGTGCCTGCCCTCCAGGCCCAGCCCAGGATCAGCAGACAGGACTGGATTGGCAGAGGGATCCTATTAAGCAAAGCACCTTAGTGTTCCCAGGGGTGGGGTGAGGTGGCCTCCTACGTGCCCAGATGCCCGTTGCCAGGCTCCCTGCGACACTGGCCTCTGGAGCCAGCCGTGCTGCGTGTGGAGGGCGGCGAGCCTGGCCAGCCTCATCCCAAGGGTGTTGACTTAGCGCTCCCCTTTTAAGTCTTATTTTATTTTTTAAAGATTGTTTATTTTTTTGAAAGGCAGAGCTACAGAGAGGGAGAGACAGAGAAACGTTCCATCTACTAGAAGCCAGGAGCTTCATCTGCGTCTCTGACATGGGTGGCAGGGATCCAAGCATTTGGGCCATCTTCGCTGCCTTTTTTTTTTTTTTTTTTTTAATTTTTTGACAGCAGAGTGGACAGTGAGAGAGAGAGACAGAGAGAAAGGTCTTCCTTTTGCCGTTGGTTCACCCTCCAAAGGCTGCCACAGCCGGCGCACCGCGCTGATCCGATGGCAGGAGCCAGGTACTTATCCTGGTCTCCCATGGGGTGCAGGGCCCAAGCACTTGGGCCATCCTCCACTGCACTCCCTGGCCACAGCAGAGAGCTGGCCTGGAAGAGGGGCAACCAGGACAGAATCCGGCACCCCGACCGGGACTAGAACCTGGTGTGCCGGCGCCGCAAGGCGGAGGATTAGCCTAGTGAGCCGCGGCGCTGGCCTACCTTTTTTTTTTTTTTTTTTTTTTAAGATTTATGTATTTATTTGAAAGGCAGAGTTAGAGAGAAACAGAAAGGAGACCAAGGTCTCTCATCTGCCGCTCACTCCCCAAGTGGCTGCAACGGTCAGGGCTGTGCTGATCTGAAGCCAGGAGCCAGGAGCTTCTTCTGGGTCTCCCACGTGGGTGCAGGGGCCCAAGCACTTGGGCCACCTTCTGCTGCTTTCCCAGGTCACAGCAGAGAGCTGGATCGGAAGTGGAGCAGCCGGGACTGGAACCGGCACTCATAGGGGATGCTGGTGTCACAGGTGGCAGTTTAACTTGTAGCACCGCAGCATGGGCCCCAAGTTTTATCGTTTATTTGAGAGGCAGAGAGTGAGAGGGAGACAGTCACAGAGTGAAGGCTCCCACGCCTGGTTCAGTCCCCAGGTACTGCAACAGCTCTGCCAAGGCTGGGCCGGGAGCTCAGTCCGTGTCTCCCATGTGGGTGGCAGAGACTCAGGCACTTGTGCCATCACTGTGGCCCACCAGGGTGTCTATTAGGAGGAAACTGACGCCGGAGCCAGGAACTGAACCCCACAGTGCTGTGTGGGAGGTGACGTCTTAACCACTAGGCTACACTCCCACCCCTGTCCTGAGAGCCTGGGTGCACAAGGCTGGGGTACTCTTTAGGGTCCGCCCCGCTGGGCGTCTGGGTTTCCTTTCCAGCTCTGCTGAGGGCCAGCAGTAACCAGGACTGGTTCTGACTTCCACCCCGTTCCTTCTGGGTGGACCTACCCTCAAGGGTAGGGAGTGATGACGTGGGGAGCCTGGTGTGCTCACTTGAGAGACCGAGTCTTCTCACTTGTGCTGGGCGTGCATGTCCGGGTATCACAGGTCCAAGGCAGGACCCGCCTGGTGGCTGCCGCCCACTCCCACCGAGTGGGATGTGGCCAGGGCCTCTGCAATCAGGTGGGTGAAAGTGGTGAAGCCGTTTCTTGGCCATTCGGTCGTCTAAGGGGACTGGCTGGGTGCCTGGTGCCCGCCTGGCCCCCATTCCCCGGGGATGCCTGTGAAAGCCAAACTTGGCCCTGCAGAGGCTGGTGGCAGTGGGGCCTGAAGTGTCTGGCTTCTGGGTGGGTCCTGTGGGGTGGACAGCTGTGGCCCCTGCTGCCCCAGGAGCCCGAGAGTGCAGGTCGCAGGGAGAGCTGGGAGAGCCCGAGAGTGCAGGTCGCAGGGAGAGCTGGGAGAGCCCGGCCTGGCGTGGTGGCCCAGGGCAGCTGCTGCTGCGATGCTTGGTCCCGCCTTCTCGTGTCCCCTCCTCTGGAAGGGGGAGGCGGACGCACGGGACGGGACGCAGAGCAGCTGGCCTGGCCCTGCCACATCCCAGTGGACACAGCGTGCTCACGAGCATCCCAGTCACCTGGGTCGGGGCTGGCCTGTGGGCTTCCGAGGATCCGGCTCGCGGGTGGGGAGACAGGCGCACAGCCTAGTGGGCGCTGTCCGCAGCTGCCCTCGACCTCAGGGTGGTGGGAAGCTGTGTGTGGGATCCTCAGGCCCCCGTGCCCTGTGGTGAGGTGGCCCCCAGCCCCGCTGCCCCAGGTCCTGCGCCTGGGGAGGCTATGGGGTGGCAGACTGGGCAGAGGTGACCAGCAAGGAGCAGCGAGAGACAAGGATGGAGCCACTGGCACCCACAGCTCTGGCAGCCGTGAGCCTGGGCCACACCCACCGTGGTTTCAGGGAGCCGGGAAGCAGGCCAGCACGGTGGGGTGGGGCAGGGGCCCCTCTGGGAAGGTGCGTCTCAGTGGGCAAGGCCGTGGCCGGGGCTCCAGCATCAGTGAGGTGGGATGGAGAGCCACAGGCTGTGTACACAAGCGAGACCCAAGTGGCCTGGGTGGCAGGGCAGCAGTGTGGGTGGCAGCAGAGTTCTGTGGGCAGGTGACAGCTTGTGGCAGGCGTGCTCCCATGAGCCTTGCCTTTCTGTGTGGGAGGAGGCTGCTGTGGGTGGGTGGGGCTCATGGTGCCCCAGGTGAGGAGGTGCAGGGCTCCTGCGCCCGCACCACCTTGGCCTAGCGTCCCCGCCGGTCCAGCGCTGCCTCTGTCATTGGTGCCACGCCCTCGTCCTGGTCAGTCCTGGCCCCCGGGGTGGGTTGGGGCCCTGGAGGGCAGGGCCAATGAGCTCTGCCACTGCGGAGTATCTCCCAGTGCGAGGGGATGCAGCCTCTCTGGTCTGTCCAGTTGGGTGCCTGCCCCTGCGCTCGGGCGAGGCAGTTGTGGACAGTGCGCTGCAGGGCCTGGGGAGTGTGGGCTCTGAGGGCTTCCGGGCCCCATCTCTCCTCACTGCCCTAGCCTTGGATCTCCTGCCTGACCGGCCAGGTGCCTGCCCCTGCTGCCAGGGTTATCTCTCCCCAGCAGCTGGCCTCCCTCACTTGGGTGGGGCAGGCAGAGCCTGCCAGGGACTCCTGGGTCGGGTGGGCCGAGGCCTGCCTTTGTGGACAGCGCCCTCCTTCCCTAGGCCCTGTCTCAGCTTCCCAGCCTCCCTGCCAAGCCACTCGCTGTGAGGTTGCAAGCCTGCCGCCTACTCCACCGGCAGGGCCCAGGCATGCAGCCGTGCACTGGCAGCCCTGGGGCAGGGTGGAGGCTTGTCGTTCTCAGGGACTGGTCACTCAGCAGCTCCACATCCCTCTGCCCGGAGCATCTCTGACGCAGGCCTGGGCTTCCTAGGACTGTGGGCTGAGCTGGCGTTGGGGTCCTCTGTCCTGCCAGGGTGAGGGGATGGGCTGAGTGACAGCAAGCAAGGACCCTGGGGTGTGGTGGGAGGGGCAGGTCTCTGGGCTGCGGGGTGGAGCTCACCTGTAGCTCCTGGTGGCTCACAGCCACCACCTGGAGACAGTCTGGGGTGTTTGGGTCCGTCCCCGGCCAGAGTTGGCCTTGGAGCAGACTAGAGGAAGCGGGGCCTGGGATGGGCTTCCTCCTCCTGTCCTCAAGGGCGAGCACTCCTGGGGGGTGAGGGGACCTTGCTCCCGGGCTGGGACATCCCCACCTGGAGGTGGAACACAGGGTGCCAGGTTTGACTCGGCATCCACATCTATGAAGTGGGGTGAGGAAGGCTCGCCTGTGACGTGGTGAGGGACGTGCTACGGGAAGTCCCTGCTTCCAGCTGGCTCGGGCGCAGGCCACAACCCACTCGGCAATCCCTAGGCACTCTGAAGCAGTGACTCCAGAGGAGGGTGCGGTTGGCACCACCTGGGCTGAGCTGTGTTTGAGCCCAGGGCTGGGTAGGACGCTGCCCTGGCCCACCAGCGCTGGGGTTTCAGGCCCAGGGACCACAGCCAGACCCCCACGAGCGCCTGTCAGAGAGGCTGGATGCCTCTGTAAATCCGTTGTTCCGGTTCGGGTTCTGGTTCCGGAGCTGGAACGGAGCAGTTCCCACTGCCCTGAGGGTCGAGCCTGCCACACACCTGAACCCTTCCTGCGGCTGGTCACCTGGGCCAGAGTTGTCCATGGCTAGGATGGAGGCCCCACCTGGCCGAGGCCTGCTGGCTCCAGCCCACCCCGTTGGTCTCTGTTCCTGCCCCGTCAAGCCCGTTTTCCAAGTAGTCACAAGACCACAGCCAACGCCACCGCTCCAGAGCCCACTGTCTCACGTGGCTGCCTCCCGGCTGCTGAGGCAGGGCAAGCCGCACCATGGGCTGGCAGCCTGGTGGCCGGCTTTGTCTACTCCCCGTGTGGTGCCCAGCGGGAGCCGGTAGGCACTTCCGCCTCTTACAGCCCTTCTCTGACCTGCAGGAAATGGCCAACTCTGTCTACCTGGTCATGGAGGTGAGTATCCTGCGACCCTACGGCTGCTTGTCCACAGCACTGGGCACCAGAGGGGGGCTGTGGTGAGGGCCTGCGAGGTGGACGAGTGCCACTGTTAGCGTCTTCGCCGGGGTTGCTGGGCACACTTGGGGATGAGCCTGGGGGTACTGGGCAGGGCTGGAAGGTCCATCCTGGCCTCTGGCCACTGCCTGATGGGGTGTGCTCTCTTGCAGTACTGTAACGGCGGGACCTGGCTGACTACCTCACAGTGAGTAGGCCCTGAGGCTGCGGGGGGCTGTGGGTCACCCTGGTGCCACTTGGGAGGTGGCCTGGCCCCAGCTGCCCCTGGTGATTTGCTTGGGCTTTCTCTTCGCCCAGCACCCTGGGGTAGATGGAAGGGGGCCCTGGTGTTTCACGTCTTGTGATGCTGTCCACGAGCCGTCCCCACCAGCGGCTCTGGAGCAGCTCCCACCTGCCTGGGGAGGGCACTGTGCCCAGGGTTCTGTTCTCACAGCTTGGGGCGGGGGTTGGCGTGAGCCAGATGTGTAAGTGACGGTGTCGTGGGAGGGAGCGAGTGCCCTGGCAGGCAGCCATGCAGGGGGTGGGCCTGCAGTTTTCTGAGTGGTGGGGTTGAGTGTGTGGCCGGCTGGGCGCAGGGGACACAGCCACAGAGCAGGGAGGCTAAAGGGCAGGTGCCAGGAAGGACAGGTCAGGGACCCTGTGGGTAGGGGCTCAGACTGTCAGGCTGGAGGTGCCAGCAGGGCCTTGGTGGTGGTGAGGGTATCTGGTTGGAGCTGTGCAGACATGGTCAGAGATCATTCCAGGGGCTTGGCCCAAGCGTCTGGGAGGACAGAGTGACAGAACAGAGCAGGTTGATTGTCAACAACACAGACTGCCTGCCTGCGCCTGTGCGAAGCTGCTGTGTTCTCACTGGCTAAAGGGACAGACACTGCCCACGGGCCCTTACAGGCAGTGGTCCTGTCGGCCTGTTTGCCTGCCATAGGGCCCTCTGAGTCCATCGCTGTAGGACGAGGAGTCCACGTGGATTGGGGGGGGCATGTTTGCAGACCCGGCACCACTCAGGGGTGGGGAGTCCAGCAGGTTGGGGATCAGGAATCCAGGTCAGTGGGCAGGTGGGGCTCCAGAGCTGGCAGTGGGAGAGGAGGCAGTGCAGGCGGCCAGCAGAGAGTCTTCCTTGCTGTGGTGTGCAGGTGGGCCAAGGGCCAGGGTGAGGCTGCTGGCCCTCAGGCCATGGCCCTGGGCACTCAGCTGCCAGCCACACCTGGCTGCCCACATGGCTACACCATGCTGGGCTCTGCCTGCTCACTGAGTGCTTTCTTCCCCCGTGGCTACCACGCTGCCTGCTGAGCCCTTGACCTTCAGTGACCAGGCGGTCCCTGGCCTGCCTCCAGGCTGCGCAGGTGTCAGGTTGGTCCCAGGCCAGCCGTGGCGCCCACCTGCCCTGGAGAGGAGGACTGGAGGCCCAGGGCACTTGTCCACAAGCTGGCATCGAGGTTAATGCTAACGCTGGCCACGCATCCATTCTTGTGCCTGTGTTGTTGTGGGCCTGCGCCACGGCTGCCTCTCTGCTGTGGAAGCCTCCTTATTCCGGAGGAGGGGCTGGAGACCTGGGGCAGGTGTAGGGCACCCAGAACTGAGGCTGGGGTGAGCCTGACTCTGAAGAGGCCAGGAGTGGGCCCGGATAGTAGTGGGAGATCAGTGTGTGTCTCTGGGGCTGTTGGCCTCTGTGGTGTGTTGGTGTGTGGTGTGTGGGAGAGAGAGATACTGGGTCTGTAAGATGTGTAGATGTGTGTGCTGTATGCTGTGTGACTGGGTCTGTGCCCTGTGTCTCTGTTGTTGTGTGTGTGTGTGTGTGTGAGACTGGGTCTGTGAGATGTGTATATCTGTATGTGTGACTGTGAGATATGTGTTGTGTGTGCTGTATGCTGTGTGACTGGGTCTGCGTGTCTGTGTGGCGTGGGGGGGCGCCTATGTCAGTTTCTCTGCCTGTCTCTGCTGCTGGCCCTTGTGTTTTCCTTGCAGCCCCCAGGGCTTGGCCGCTGGTGGCCTCTGCGAGCCCAGCAGCTCCCCGCCTTGAGCCCATAGCTGTGCTGTGACCTTGGCCGCCCCAGGTTCATGGGTCCAGGCTTCTCTCACTGAAGGCCGCAGCAGGCCTGGGCCCTGGGGACCCCTCCCCTCGCAGCGCGGCCTGCTGGTGTTTGCGTGGGCAAGAGCAGGCTAGTTGGAGCCAGGGGCGGCCGTGACACGCCTTGGCGGACAGAGTACTGGCAGTTGGGCTGATGTCGGGGAGGGTGACAGCCGGGGCCAGGGTGGAGGGCCTGCCTTGCCGGCTTGCAGGTCACGGGTGCACTTGGTCTCTCATGGTGACGGGTTTGTGGTGAAGGTCTGCCTGCTTCCTGCTGGAGGGGGGTCCCGGGGCAGGGAGGACCAGGCACACCCTCTGGACTTGGGGTGTCCCGTGGGGCAGGCTGAGCCCGCCTCTCCCCGCAGCCATGCGGACGCTGAGCGAGGACACCATCCGGCTGTTCCTGCAGCAGATCGCCGGCGCCATGCGCTGCTGCACAGCAAAGGCATCATCCACCGCGACCTGAAGCCCCAGAACATCCTGCTGGCCAACCCCGGAGGCGCCGCGCCAACCCCAGCAACATCCGCGTCAAGATTGGTGAGGCCCCGGCGCGGGCACGGGCGCGTGCCGGCCTGGGCTCCCGCCCGCTCACCGTGTCTCTCCCGCAGCTGACTTCGGGTTCGCGCGCTACCTCCAGAGCAACATGATGGCGGCCACGCTCTGCGGCTCCCCCATGTACATGGTACGTGGCCCTGCACGCAAGCCCACGAGGCCACAGAGAGCCCTTCTGTGGCCTCACTGCAGCCGGCAGTGTGGGCTGAACTTTTTTCCTGAGCGCCTGCTCTGATGGGTGGGTGCCTGATGGTGCTTGAGCGTTGCCTGCTCTGATTGGCTGCTGCCAACAGGTGTCTTAATCGTTGTGGGGCATGACTGGCATCTGCTCTAGTTAGCTGGTAACTTGGCTGCCGTTTGCTCTAATTGTTGGAGCCTGGCAGGTGTCTGCTCTGATTGGCTGGTGCTTGGCTGATGTCTGCTCTGATTGGTTAGTCTGTGGTCTCTGTTCGGATTGCTGTGTGGCTGGCACCTGCTCCTTGGTCAGTGTGTGAGGTGTCTGCTGTTGGCTGTGGCGCTGAGCTGTTCTCACCCCACAGGCCCCCGAGGTGATCATGTCCCAGCACTACGATGGGAAGGCAGACCTGTGGGTATCGGCACCATCGTTTACCAGTGCCTGACAGGGAAGGCGCCCTTCCAGGTGTGTGGGACCACAGATGGATCCTGGTTAGGGACAGTGAGGGGTGGGTGAGTGGGCAGGACCACCCAAGGCAGTGTCC